GTCAGGATCTACTAACGGAAGTAATTAACAGCTTCACAGCCCCATCCCTGTGTTAACAAACCACTGTCACTTTGTCTACTATTTGATCCTCATCTGCTCAAGGGGGTATGCATAAATATATGCTTCACATATTTGCATTCCAGTGTTGGAGGAAGCAAACTTTGATCCACCAAAGTCTATGCTGGAATAAATGGTTAGTCTTTAAAATGCTGTAATATTTTATTTGCGCTCCCCCTGTTCTGCCAGCAGCCATAGCTCAGGGGCTGAGCTCCTGCTTTACATGCAGATGGTTCCAGGTTCAGTCCCAGCTATCATCAGACTCTTGCTTGAACCATTGGTGAACTCGTGCAAGTCAATGTACTTAATGTGGAACTAAATGCAACATTGGTCTGGATTTAGTGTTAGTAGCCTTCATCAGTTCATATGCCATGTTTCAATTTCTAAGAATTCTGAATGCAGTTAAGATTAAGGAAGAAAAACAACAAAGTAATATACTGGTATTTTTGAAGGCTTCTGCCATGATATAAAACCATCGGCGTACTGAACATATTGGAAATCAAGAAGACATTTATTTTATTTTTAATCAAGAGTAAAACATTTTCTCTGCCAAATTCCAGGCAGAAAAAAGAGCTTTTATAGCCCTCCTAAAGTTAAGACAGGAGAATGCCAAATGTTTTCTGGAATAATCTGGTGTCATCTGAAGAACTGGCTACCTCCTCTGGGTCATGTCCCTGATCCAATGGGAGTAAACAGAGACAGAGACAGGTAACATAAAAAGTTTTATTTCATGTGAGAAGTCCCGGCCAAAACCAAATATCTGTCCTGAGGAGTAAATGCCTTCCCCCCCCCATGTGAAGTGGTTTGTTCCTAACAGTACCCATTTCAGTTTACTGAGTAAAGTAGATGATGAGAACACTCCTAAAACAATAATAAGTAGGAGGAGCATTTCAAGCAGCTTTCCTAGAAGTGCAGAAAAACTCAATAGGAACTGAAGCCATGAGGATTTAAATGTCTGAGGAATCAGAAGTTTCCAGTTTGTCTTCATTGTGGCTGTGTTTGCTATGGGTTTCTGGAGTTGGCATTAAAAGAAAAGAAAAAGGACAGTTTCCAACTGATTTCAAAAGAGAGAATAACTTGGGATCTCAAGAAAGCCTGCTCTGCTGTCACCTGTTGAAAGGGGAGCCTTGAATCAGACCAAGATGGTTAGTCTGATCTAAGACTAGGAGGACTTCACTGGGGTGCCCGAGAAGCTGCAGAGAAAGTGTATCTACAGGCAAGGGCTCAAATGGAACCTCCATGTACTGGGGCAGTCTATCTGTGAAGACCAGCCACTGTCATGTGGTGTCTGCAAAAGGCTGAGATGCGTCAGAGAGAGAGAGAGAGAGAGAGAGCGGCTGAGATGCGTCAGAGAGAGAGAGGCAGGCAGTTTACCTCTGTTTAGACTCTGGGTGGCTCTCCTCCTCTACCTCTCCTCCCAACCGACCCCACGCTTCCAAAATCTATGACGCCAGAGGGACTGGACGGGAGGCAGCCAAAGATGACTTTGCCGGGATCGGGGCCCGGCTTCCTTTGGGGCATCAAAAGCCTCGGGAGGGGGGGCTCTTCTGTCCCTCGCAGGCGATCGCCTCCCTCCCCTTAAGGCTGGGGCCGGGGAGGTGTCTAGCCCGGGAATCGCGCAGATCTCCGCATTTCCTGTTCAGATCCCAGGCTCTCGCTCCGACCCGCCTTCCCAGCAGAGGTCCCTCGATCCGAATGAAAGGGTGAGAGGGAAAGGACGGAGCAGGAGGAGGAGGAGGAAGAGGAAGAGAGGGGCCGAGGGAAGCAGCCGGCGGTACAGAGCGGGAGGGAGAGCCGGAGGCAGATTCCAAAGGCGGAGCAAGCGGAGCATCCTCACGACCGCCGTTGACGCGCAACTTCTCCGGCGGAACGGCTCCAGTGAAGAAGCCGCCGGGCGAAAGCCAGCCGAGAAGAAGCCCCCGGATCGCTGCGGAGAAGAGGGAAGCCCGGGTTGTTCTTTCTCCCAAGAAGTACGAGATTTCTGCCTGCTGGAATCTGATGGGACTGTGGCCACTTCGCCAAAATAAATCAACAAATAGTCGTCGTCCCCCTGGTCTGGGGAAGCCGTCCGAAGCCCTTCAGCTCCATGCCTTTTTGGAATCGATGCTGCAGCCAAGGCGGTCTACATAAAACGCACGAGGGAGTCAATCTTGTGTATATTAACCCAAGTTACACGCACGCATATTTACGAGCAGACATATACACACGCAGACGCAACCACACGCAGGCATGTGTGTGTGTAGACACACGTGTTGTATCTATACAGTGTATAAGGAAATGTCGTCTGTCTGGCAACAATACACCAAAGTTGTCCTCTACTAGTTTTATTAAGTAACTGAAATATGGCCTTGGAAGAGAGCTTTATGGAAGACCACGGACTCGCAGAACGACAAAGGAATGAGTGCTAGTCAAATCAAGCCTGAACTCTCCCTAGAAGTGAAAAATAAAAATAAAATAGCTACACTGAGGCTATCGGACTTTGCGCATATCATACAAGGACAAGATTCAGTGGCAAAGACAATAATGCCAGGAAAAGGTGAAGGAAAAAAGACTCAATATGAGATGGTTTGATTCAATAAAGAAACCACGTCGGTTCGTTCACAAGACTTGAGCAGGGCCATTAACAATAGACCCTTTTGGAGGTCATAATTTTATAGGGTCGCCATAAATTGGAGGCCTGGTGACAGCACATAACAACAACATATGAGAATAATGTATTACATTATAATTGCCCTGAATGATGATATGATATGAATTATGATAATAAATTTTGGTTTTAAAAAAATCGGCACATTGATCCTTTCATTTAATTGAAATTATGTTGAACTCATTTCAGGTAAGCAAGCACAATACTGCCTAATAGTATATCGTATTAGCGTAATACGAGTGTACTCATACCATTCTCCTTGAAAGTTTGTTCAACGATAGCAAAAAAAGGTAGTCTACTCAGCGGATTTTGGAAGTAGCTTCGTTAACATTATATACAAATCAACGTGATAATAAATTTAAGTGAAACAAGAACCGCTGTAGGAAAAAAAATGCTGCATACATAAGAATATACAGTACAGGGCATTTTCTCTGGATTTCCATTGTGCCCGATAAAGAACTCTATGTAATTGTAAAATGTGCATACCCTGCATCAGCCGAAGGTGACAGAGCAAAACGGTGCTTCCCAGTCAATTACGTGTATGGAATCCCCCGGTCACCCCCGAGTTACGTTAGAAAGACACTTGTCCATTCCCCAGGTGTGGAGGGAATCTTTTACTAGATTTACGTGAAGACATGAAGCTGACCTTATTTCTGATCCCCTTTTTCCTGTTCATTTTTGGAGCAAAAGGTCAGAAAGGATCAAGTTCCAATGAAATGAACAACATTTGGGAGTATCGAAAGAGGGTTTACAAAGTGAAAAAACTTTCCAGATATAGTCTTCCATAAGAAGAATGCTAGTTTTGTCACTCTCTACTCTCCTTCGATTTTAAATGAAATGATTAAAGGTCAGACCCACGCCACGGACATTTCGGAAACGAAAATCCAGATGAACTGATTTTTTTAAAATGGTGAAATATTGTTCAATTTTCAGAGGAATCGAAACTGGCCATCTTCGGAAACTATAGTGGGAGGGGGGGTCGTCGGTTCCCAATTCGCAGGGGTCCTTATGGCATCCCATGGTTCCCAAATAAAAATAAACATTTTTCCCAGACGATTTACTCTAGCTTTTCAAGGCAAAAGCAGAAACCGCGCGGCCAAGTGTTTGATCTTTTCCATTCATTGTTCAAGTAAACTGGGGGAAAGTGATAAGGCGCGTTTTAATAAATGAAAAGGCTTAGGTTTGAAGTGGGGGGGGGACGAGAAATCTCTAAGGAAAGGAGATAGATAAAATAAAAGGGGCGAAACCCTAAAGATGTGGGTAGCGTATAATTTTAGCCGCGATCCTATTCGTGGTTACTCAAAAGTGAGCCCCAGTATGACCAGCACTTGCTTGGAAGTCTGTTTCAAGAATGCCGTCTACTAGGAAGTCAGCCTGTTGAGCTTAATGGGACTGACTTCAGACGAGCCATGCAAAGGACTGGAGTTTTAAAAACAGCTGACCTGTTCCTAAGCAGCAAATCCCACCGAATTAAAAAAAAGGGGGGGCTTACTGCCTAGCAAACCTGCACGGGATCGGGCCCACGGCTGCCCTTTCCAGCCCACCTAGGTGCTACCTGGAGGACCCGTTTGAATTCCGGTGCAACCGGAGTGGATGGACCGCAGATTCCATCGAAGACCAGGGGCGGCGGGTGGGGTGGGTGGGGGAGCCTGTTTTTAAAAGGAAACCCTAGGAAATTCTGCGCTCCACGGAGTTGTGGATGAACTATGGCTGCTAGGCACGGATGAAAAAAAATTGAAACAAATCAAAATCTCTTTCCAATCCCAGAAGAAGCCAGAAGTGAAGCCAGTTGTGTTTTCCAACCCCGGCTTTCAAGAACTGAGCGGCTTATCGCCACGCGGTCCCCCCTCCAACGACAGGAGGAACCCCCGGCTAGCTAGCTCTTCCTACAACCCGGATCTGTCCAGGGAGATTCCCGCAACAAGAAGACGACGTGGGGATGCTTGGCTGAAGCCTGGCGAGCACCGGCGGAAAAGACGCAAAGCGAGCCACCCCAACAGAGCCTTGTGCCATGAAGGCATTGATCATTGCTACTACTGCCGCCCGCCCCAACGTTCTGCGTTCCATTGTTCCCGGCCGGGCCAATCCCCGCTCGCCGCCGCCTTCTCCGCCAATCCCCGCCGAGGGCTGCCGCAGCAGCTCTGTGAGGTCACCGCTCTGCCCGCCTCCTTTTTTTTTTCCTTGCAGCCTCCCCCCCCCCCCNNTGGTGGGTGGTCCGCGCCGTGCTGACGTCATGCTGCGTATGGGACAGGGCAAGCTGCCCTCCCCGTCGGCTCCTAGGATGCAATAGTTAGTTAGCCAACAGGCAAGGCAGTGGGGGAATCACCGCAGCCTTCCTTCTCTCTCCCCCCTCCCCACATCTTCCTTCCTTCCTTTTTTCCCCCTTGCACCATTCAACACTTTCCTACATCTCCTTCTGCATGGTGGATATTATTTTCCCTTATCCTTTCCTGGGTGCTATGGGGGATCATTCCAAAAGTAAGTGGCGCTCTTGCTTTCTTGATTCCTCTTACTCTGGGCTTCCGAATGCCGTGGGGGGGGGAAGAGTCGGGTGGGGGGTGTCTGTCGGAATGCACCTTCTTTAGCAGAAGGTTGTGGGTTTTTTTAAATTTTGTTTCCTTGTGTTTTATTTTTATTATTTTATTTTTCATTTTTTTCATTTTTTATTTATTTTCTCAGCTCAGTTGAGGTTGCGGGAGTGGGGTTGCGTAGAGAGAGAGGTGTGGGAAAAGTCGCCCAAATAAGTCACCTAAGAAATCAAGGTCCGTTCCTTTCTGGCTTTTACGCATCGTCGGGAATAATTCTGGCTCTCCTCCTGCCAATGTATTCGCTTTGAGTTGAATCTTTATGCAAACCTACCCCAGAATGCGCGGCTGGATTGTGACTGCATTTATTTCTTGATTAATCTCAAACGCCTGGGTTGTTCTTAAGGTCCTTTCAAGTTGCTTAGACAAGAATTTTTCACTTAGCAATTGAAAAGGGCCAAAACCGTCGCCTTATTACTCGTGGTAGGAGCAGTATTTTTGCAGTCATTCAGAGGTGATCAGAATTTTTCTCTTTTTCCCCCTCCACTGCAGGGTTGTGGTGTGAAGCTTTTGTTTTGCGTTGCTTTGCTTTTTTAAAAAAAATACTGTCCGTGGGGTCAGGTGGCGATTTATTAATTTTATTTTGCGTTGCAATCGGAAAACGTAAAAAGGGTCGGATAAACTGCAAGGAGGCGATTCCCAAAAAACAAACAAACCCAGATTCCTTCTTATTTTATCTTCTGTGTTTTGCTTCTGGGTGGTTCGGTGGGTTGGAGGGATCCGGAGCCCCCCCTTCAAAAAACAAAAAGAGGGGAGCCGAGGGAGGAGGAAGACACCGAGGCTGTCGGATGAGCTGGATCTGATTTCTTTTAATTTCTTTTACTGTCGGTCGCGCGCCTGTCTGAGAAAAGCCCTGATGCCCGATTCTGTCCGTTCTTCTCCGTTTCCTTTGCTCCTTTCCACTGGCAGAAAAACCCGGGATTGCCATGTGCGTGGGATGCGGAAGCGAAATCCACGACCAGTACATCCTGAAGGTTTCCCCGGACCTGGAGTGGCACGCGGCCTGCCTGAAATGCGCGGATTGTAGCCAATATTTGGACGAAACGTGCACTTGTTTTGTGCGAGATGGCAAAACGTACTGTAAAAGGGACTATATCAGGTGATGATTGTTCCCAACCTCTACGCCAGACATCCCGGAATATTCCAAATCCTCCCCCCCCTTTTTTTTTTACAACCACCCTTTCTTCTTTTCTTTTCAATATTCCTTTTCAGCCGAGCCTTGCTTGGAAAGTTTGCTATATATATAGACCTTATTGATGTGGTTTTGATCTATACGTGCCTATTTACAAAATCTTTTTTTTAAAAAAACGTTCTGCCTGCCTTTTCTTCCTTGGCCTTGGGGGGAAAAATTAAAGCTGGTCAGAGAGGACAGAGTTACGTCTTTGGACTTTGAACTCCTGGTGGCCAGAAGTTCAGACAGAATGACCAGCGAAAGTTGTCATAATTCACGGCTCCTCTCTTATCTTCTGCCCGAATGTGATTTTTTTTAAAAGCTATTTTCTGTGAACCTTTCCTGAAACAAATCATCCGCTCCTCGGGAATATATTTACTAAGAAGTAAGTCCCACTGACTCCAATGGAACTTACTTCTCAGTAACTCACTGTGTTGTCGATAGGTTACGATTCTATTCATCCTGACAAAGGGCGGTGATAATTATCACCCTTAGCGCTCGTCCTTTGCTAATATTGCTAATTTCCTAGTCAGTCTGTTGCTTGTGGATGCTGCAACCCACATCGAAACAACATTCAAAAGGAACAGGTCGCGGTACTAAATGAATAATGGGACTATTAGTAAGAATCCAGGAGAGGCAGCAAACCGTTAATGTTATTATGCATCATTATTATTGGTTATTAATAGTTATTAATAGGGCGGCTTGTAAAGCTGAAGCCCTTCCCTCGATTAACATGAAACTGAGAAAGGGGCATTAATTATATGCATACAGTATTTATAGAAGTAGCCAAAGCGAAGTGGTTTTTGACGGCGGCGGGCCCATTGGGGCGAAGGGCGCCTTCAGCCTCGTCCTCTCTGCCTTCCAAGCGTTTGCAAGAGGACTGGTTATTAATTGAATAGCATTATAATTATATAATTACATGGTCTGTAATAGGATATCACAAGGAGAAGGCTCGAGGGGTGGGAAAAGGGCCACGGCTGTGTTACAAGTCTCGCTTGTCTTTTAAATACGGCCGCGGGCCTCGCTTTCCCTGTTGCTTGCGTAAGAGGGCCGGCCCCTGCCCCGAGGAGCTTGCAGCGGACGCGGGATTTCTCCATCCATCC